CGCTCCTTCCTCGTACCTCCTGCAGTTGCTCGAGGCGCTCCTTGTTCGACTGAATTTCGGCTTCAAACGCTTGGTGACGCAAGAACTTGCTATGAATGGTCTTCGCGTCGCGATAAGTTTCGTCTTGGGCACGGATCATCTTCTCTTCGATCCATTCGCGCAGCTAAACGAAATATCCGTCACCACTGATCACCTGTGTCGTCACCACTGGTCACCCACTTCCTCGCAGTCGCTGAGGAACTGCTGTAACTGCAACATCTCTTTGAACTTGTCGGTCAACGAAGCGGCTTTTTCGCGATTGGCGTTCCGTCGTTCTTGAATGTTCGACACCTTCTTGTGAATGCGGTCTGCGGCGTAGTGACCCTCGTCGCACAACTGGTCGCCGAAAACGATCACCGCACGAATCTTCTCGTCGCTGGCATCCAGCGTAGTCAAAAAGTCGTTGTGGCGCTTCAATAAATTTTCGGCCTGTTCCAGGGACGTCTGAAACGAAAGGAACGGATATGAAATGGTCTGGCATAAGCAATCGGTAGCAAGTGCATACCGGCGATTCTTCTTTCGTCAGATAGTTTTCTTGCTGGCTAAGCAACACCTCGGCCTGTTTCGCGTCGCGCAAGAACATCTGTAGATTCAACGCCTGCGACAACATGTTCTGCCGGTTGTCCCACATGCGGTGCAGCTCTTCCCAACCTTCTTGCAGTCCGTCAAGTCGCTGAAACACACACAAACCGTGATTGATGTACAAAACCAAAGCAGAAAGAAAGCAGAGAACAAAGAAACCCCGTACCTGCTTCAAAAACAAATATTGAGGATCTGTCTGATCCTGCGTAACGCGATCTCCCATCAATCGCATTTTCGAGTAATCATCCGCATACCCGTCGATCTCCTCTTTGATCACCGAGTGTTGGTTGAGAAGCTGTTCAGCTTCGGCCAAGCTTTCCGGCTCGTCAGCACTCGCCACCTAATACCGACAGCCGATTAATCATCTTGCATCAGAAAAATCATTTACCAACAGTCCAACAAGTGAAAAAGAGCGTAAACGCGTACCTGTCTCTGAATGGTAGTTAGCCATCCTTGGAAAT